GATTTTTTCTGCATATTGCAAATTTCATTTTTATCATGCTGGAAAGTTACTTAAACCTTCAACGATAAAGATTCTCATGCTCGAAAGCTTGCAACACATTTGATCATTGCCTGACAACATTTAATCCTAGTTCTACTACGCGGAACGTGACTTTCACGAACATAAAGTAACCGATCCAGGTACTCAGCCACTTACAGTAACAGGTACGTTTACCTTAGAATGATTAATTTCGAACACATTCACTGGCTTTTCACTGTTGTAGATGTATCAGTGCCGACCATTGTTAGTGAACTTCTACTAATCCACAACCTACTCATCAACCAAAGCAAATGGAGGTCAGTGAGCAGAAATACTAAATTGTCTGTATATGGAGCATGACTTGCTGATTGTAAGTTATATCATGTCACATCATCAACAGCAAGACTACGAAACAAGCAGATGTGAACAGGTGAGAAAACTTCGTATTGTGATGCACCTACATGTATGGGACATCCGACCGCGCCAAAGCATAATCGTTGCAGCGTTTTCAATGCATCGCATGAAACGTCTTGCGTGTTCTATGGCCATTGAGAATAAGGGACATCCGTTGTTTTCTTTCATTTGATTATAGGTGTATTCGAAGCATTATTTCATGTATTTTCGGATCGAAGTGTGCATTAGGAATGGGGTGCCAGGTGAAGATTAGACAGTAACTGAAGAAGTAGTAATTCATTATCAACCGAGGTAGTTTGGCCATTTATTTCGTACGATCAATACAATTTGCTTTGTATATCTTTTATTCTGCACCCCATAACTCTTTGGAGAAGGAAAAGATGGCTAGATGCTGCTGAAAGTTGAAGACTTCAATTGGAGTGTTTACCAACAACAAGATCGTAAGGTTTAAGCTTCTGACTGGTCACATTGAAGTTTCCTTACTAACCTATTTCAGACTTGCCTGGTTTTGGAATCGTTGTCAAAGAGGAGGTTTAAAAGGATAAAGTTGTTAAGCACTTTATATTTTTGATGTATTCAGGGCTCCACTTACACGTGCACGATTACATGGATAAATCTTATGATCATTTCTATGGTTACTAACTGATTTGCCTTTCTCTCTACTCTTGGATGAATGATATTGAAAATCACACCTTTCTATAAGAACGGTCTTTAGCCACCCAGGCTGAGATTCGTGAGAGAAGATATCTCTCAGGTTTTCTCAAACAAAGTTTTCTTTAACTGAGAAACGTAACTTAATGTCGGGAGATTCACTCCAACTGGCTGGATCTATAATATATGTCCATGCTGAATCAAGCTTTACTGATCGTATTAATAGACGATCCATCGAAACAGAAATAGACGGGCTCTGTTGAAACGGTGAAAAACATCATACTTAAGAGTTTTCTAATTGTAAAGGTTCAGAGAGAAAAGATCCCCAAACCACTTTGGATAGTATAGGAAAGTGTTGCAGAATTAGACGCATGCTGAAAAATTCTGGCAGCTTACCAAGTGAAATTGCGGAGCTCGAAAACCTGATGAACACAAAAACTGGTTTAATTGCCACTTTTAAAACGTGACTAACTTCGAAATAGCATGATAGTGTAATGTAACCGCTCTGTTTTCTGCTTTGTAGGTCTGACGAATTAATTCGTAGAGATGCTGGGGTTTCCATATACATGGGAACCGTCTTAACCACATTAGCTGCCGCGATAGCTGTGCACGACTCAAAAGCATGCGAGTCGGCGCGTTTCTGAACGAAATGGAAGTAGTCAGACATTCAACTGGTGGTTGTGTACCACAGTTCAAAACATATGGTGGATGACGTCCTTTTAAATAAATCCTGATCAGATGTGTTCAAAAGCACCCTCTGTAAATTTTGGAAACCTGGAAGAAGAGTAATCGAAAACATCGCCTAATAATGAGCTGCTAGTAGTCGCGATTGCCCTAGCTTTATTCCAGCAATTAAGAGATCTCATCAGATATGACGTACGAAACTCCTTATCTGTCTTAAGACTTGTATTCACTCACGTTGTTATTGCTAGTCTGATGTGTGGGACTCTTTCAGCAAAACATAGTTGATGAAGCCAGTAGGCTATTCTGAGGGAAAGGAGTAAATGGAAGCATGGAACAACTACCGAGACGCAATAGTTACTCTCGCAGTTCTTGTAGATTCTGGTGCTCCTGGTATCACTTCTTGTTCCGTGATGGATAACCATTTGTGTGTGACGTAATGATGATTCATTATTCTCTAACTGGTTGTCAGTTTTTCATGGCATTCAGGGTATTGGCATTTCTTCAGGCTTCCGTATGTACTTGCTGTCGCGTTTTCAGTTTCTCTGGCTGTTAATATTAATTTGCTTGTCGTTACTTGGATTCACTTAGTATATCACGAGTTGGTGTGCTTTTTGAGTCCTCATGGAGTTTTGAAGGTCTTCTAAAGGTCATTTGAATACCTCCTGGGGTATGAGGTCTAAGTGCGGGAGATGGCGACCGTTTCTGTAATAAGTGCTTATCTTCTTGATTGTGACAGTAGTCGCTGTTAATCGCTATTGCCGCATTTGTGTGTTACGTCATGCTTGTCTGTTTTTCAGGGTTATGATCACAACGACTTGGTTTTTATTTTCGCTGAATGTGTTATCTATTCCTGAGTAAGTCAGTCATCAAGTGGATCCAGACCGTGTGTCATTTGTCGTAGCCATCATTTTATGTGAGATGGTTTTCTGCCATGGCTGTTGCTATCTATATGGTCGTATGAAGACCTCCTCACTAGGTTATTTGTTCTACCATGTGCTGTATTCAACAGGTTTAGCTTGCTTTTCAGTATCATCAGTGCAGGGTTAGGGGGTGTTATGTTTTTATGAGGTAGGTTAATTGTAAATTATAAATTGTGTTTTATTATTGGTACCCAGTGTCATTATTCGATCAATATATATGACTGCTCCGAATCTAGTCCAGTCCTTTTTTCTTTGGGCTATAAGCTCATGACCGTAGGCTTAGATGGGGATTATCGAATAACCCACCAACCTAATTTTTGTTCATAGTCTCATGTGTGCCGAGAGTAGTGTCGGTTTGACTTCAATTATCGCTGTTTTCGTTTCACCGATATCTGGTTTGATCGTATCGTCAGTAGTCCCATCATTTATTATGAATGATCCAAGGTAGTCCAGTGTTGTTACTTCCTAGGGCTTTTGATTGACTTTTGCTATTTCGAGGTCACTACTGTGTTTATTAATTAACATAACTTTGGTTTTGTCATGGCGAATTTGCATTCCAAGTCTAGCCAGGTGGTTTGGTAGGGAAAGTGAGGGTTTTTGTGGTTTAACCAGACGTTCTTGTGGTGGAACATGTGTCATCTACATACACAGTGTGCAGCAATGTCCAGATTGTGTTGTTGTTATCAATTAGTTTATTGTACGTAGTTATTCAGTCTGTTGTGCAACTGAGAGTTTTTTTAAACGCGTGGTTGGCCTTATCTATTTCCTTGTCTTACTCTGTGGATGGTACAGTGTAAATATGAGTCTTCTTGGTGACCCTTGGGCTGATTCGGTAATTTAACAGTGGTTTTGATGAAATTTGCAGTGTTTTTAGAGTCGGATTTTTGTAGATACCCGAGAATCAATACAAATATGCCAAACAAGATTGGATCAAATATCTATCTGCAGGGATTGCAGCATTTCTCCCAAGCAGACAGTCAGAAGGTTAACAGTCACAAACTGAACCACGCCGTGACCTTGAGCTTAGTCAAACACGACTTTACTGTCAATAGTCCGGCAACATGCAATAGAAAATTAGGTAACAAAAGATAAGTCTTTAATCAAAATCACATAATAAAGGCCCAAACGAGGAAGACTGAGGAACAAAAGATATGGTTAAACGAGATCTGAACAAAGGTTAAAATACACAACAGGGAGAAGAAACAAAGAAATGACAATACCGTTCAACAAAGAAGCTGCAGAGGGATTTTCATCGTTTTCTTTACTTTACAGTAAATGTCTTTCTTGTCGCACCAAGTGAGAATATGGTTTGATAGTTGTTGGGATCATTGCGTAACACTTTGTTTCTGTATATTTTGAGGACGTCTACATCTAACCACTTGGCTATAATTGCATCTGTGAAGGCATAAGAAAAAGGACTGGGGAAAAATATAAAAAGCATCAGCTCAAATAGAATCAAAAGATCAACAAAATATATATCTGGGCGTTTCAAGAAGAATAAATCACCACAGTGTGTACGCGGAGGGGTTTTCATACTCAAAACCTTCAGAGAGGATCTTACAAACCCATAGACGGTAGCCTAATTTTGTTTAGAACATAAACAGCTATTGTTGGACCTTGTTGATACCTGTTGTCCAGCCTCACAGTGATCTCGGGCTAGCAGTGGGTCACAATCTTGGACGATAGCTCATTGACGTGCGACCTTATGTCATCAATACACATCTGAAAATTTTGAATATGGTTCAAATGGTTGTGGATGGAATAGAAGAAGCTTTTGCTTAACGGGCTTCCGGTCCTAGTAGCAGTGGATCACCAGTACTCCCAGGCAGTTATGTAGGTATGTTAACGATAATAGAGGAGAAAAAAGAAAAGAAATTGGTAAATCATCGTCAGATGAATAGGCCAAGTTTCCTCTTAAAGGACTCATGGGACGTCGCTTGGACTAGTTCAGTCGGCAGAGAATTCCAGCGTTTGACAACTCTCATGGAGTAGAAGTTGTGTCTACAATCCTTTCTGCTGTTGTATCTCCAATTTCTGGGTGTTACCCCTTAGGTTTGTATTAAGACTAAGCTCAAGTAGGTGCTTAAGGGGATGTCCAGAAGTGTTAAGGATATTGTTAGCCATTAGAAGGCCACCTCTAAGACGCCTATACTCTAATGGGTAAAAGTTAAGTGATTAGAGGTGCTCTTCATAAGGTTAATGAAGAACACACACAATTGAATTTGCGTCAGAAAATAAGCAAAGGTCTTTTTTCCTTAAAGCTCTGTTTAAAACCACTTAAAGTTGTTCTTTTATGCTCTTAGACAGACTAAAGATAGAGGTTGTAGGGTATGAATAAACGCGCACTGTTTGACATATGCGTAATTTCACATACAAGTTGTTTGTGTAACATGTTAAGAAGCCTACTTTACTAACTTGCAGTTTCGATTGTCAGATCATTTTAATCTCACTTTCGCAATACTGGTAATTTTTTTGATTACTTTGACTAATAAACACGTGCATCATGTGTACCTACTGAGTCGTCCGTTCACTGCTATTTTTTTCTTGACCAGATTACTTTTCATACGCTACTCTATACAATTTCCTTACATACTTTCAGGCTTCAAACAAGATCCCAGATACTCAAATCCCATTGGAAGATTTACTCAAGGCGTTTGTTGCCATCTGGTCGCGTTGCATACCACACTTATAATTGTGTCATATCAATATCAATTGATATTGAGTTGAAAAATGGCAAGTGGCATGATAACATTAATAGCCGAAAATCAAAGTTTTCTAGTAAGTTATCTATTTTGCTCAATTTTCACGAATAAGTTTCAGTAACCCCGTAGTATTTGGATATGAATAGTTTAGTTTGCAGGCATACATGTAGGCTTACAATTGCGGTTTATATAAGCCATAATCGCCATCCTTGTGAATTAGTCGGTGGCCGTTTTTGTTGGTGTTTTATGACCGAAAATTTATTTATTATGACGTTGATACCGTCTTGGATCTACTACCTAGAATCATTCTGTGTCCCATCTGTTTACTTCTTGTTAATCCTTGATCTTCCCCTAGCTTTTTTGTGCTATCATAAAATGCCTTGAAGGATCGTTTGTCAATTTCAAAGAGTAGTCAGTTAATACCCGAACTGATTATACTTAAACTCACTTTTAAGTTAGCGTTCAATGTCGATGTATGTAGCCATTGATGTAAATGTACTCACTCAATTATATGTCTGTTTGAATAAACCCTGCAGATCTTTTTTAATTAAAAGTCAAACAGCTAATTATGGGCCAACAATTATCCAGGCATTGAGATGAGTTGAAACACTATGAATATCATCCGGATGAGACAGGGTTAAGTGATTTGCGGAAGAAGTCAGGTGATGGCTGATTAAGAGGTAGTCCAGTCTATTGATGGTTATCGAATTTCGTTTTGCCCCAAACATACTGGTGATAAATATCTTTCAATTAACATTGTGATAAAATGGAGTCCTTTCGTTGAGCAGACTAACGTCGTTCCTAATTTTATGGATTGTGGGTAAGAATGTAGCTCATTTATTTCTAAGTTCTAGTTGAGTTGTACTTGAATATGACTCATACAGTCTGTCAAAAACCAGCTATCATCTAGTCACTACTCTGGACCATGGTACTTACTTGCGCTTGTTACTCCCAATGGAGCATAGGCCGCCGACCAGCATTCTCCAACCCATTCTATCCTGGGCCTTTCTTTCTAGGTCTATGCGATTTTTGTTCATTCTTCCTATGTCTGTTTCCATTTCTCGGCGTAATGTGTTCTTTGGTTTTCCTCTTGCCCTTTGGCCTTGAGAATTCCAAGTGAGGACTTGTCTTGTGACGCAGTTGGGTACTTTCTTCAATATGTATCCTATCCACTTCCAGCGCTTCTTCCCGATTTTTTCCTCGACTGAAATCTGGTTCTTTCTCTCCCACAGTAGGTTGTTACTGATAGTGTCTAGCCAACAAACCTGAAGTATTTTACGTAGACAACTGTTAATAAACACTCGTATCTTGTGGGTGATGGTTTTCGTAGTTCTCCACGTTTCCGCCCTATATAGTAGAACACGGTAGATATAGTGGTATTGTAACTCATGCTTCAAGCACTCTAATACTTGAAAGTAGAATTTAAAATTAATCTAATACTACCCTAACACTCCCTAGAAGATACGTTATTTCGTGTTAAGGTTGTTGATGCGTTGAGCGAAGTTAGAAGTAATGTATACCACCAAATATCATCCTTACACTGAGTATGAAATCTTTCCAAACTTTTATGCAATAGTAAGCGTAAATACATTATCTGTGTAGTTATTGGACTGTTTACCATGTGTTACAAAACGTTTATAACGTTAGAGTGGAATTTTTGCATAAAATATTTCGTGTTTTTTAAAATTGTCTATAACTTAATTTAAACGGTGTATTTATCTGTGAAAAGCAGTGTACGTTCTCATACGTAGCAAACGTCTACTCATATAGCTTTACTTATAAGAAAATGATGAGTAGCTAGATTTCACCGAACTGATTCCTGTTTTACTAACTGTAAACATTAAGTCACAGTTTAATAGTTGCTTCTGGGGTTAGATGATTGAGATTAAGTTTAGTGCCGGTTCAACATGAGCTGTCGAATGTTGTACATAAACAGACTACTCTTTTAAGTTAGTTGCACTCTTTAAATCAGTTCCATCCCATTGGTCATTCAATAATTAGTTTTCTGTTCATTTCAGGTACCTCGTGATGTACTTACTAAATCTAGTCTGTATTTTTATGCTGCTTTTGAGAGCGGGATGACTGAAAGCAAAACCAGCCAGTTCAGTTTTCCTAATTTCACTGCTCACCAGTTAGCTATGGTTGTTCAGTTTCTGCGACCTGAATTAACTATTCAGGATGATGCTTTAAACAACCATAGCAATGGATTAAATAACTCTTGTCCAGAAACGCTGAAAATTTTAGAAGCTTTGGATTTGGCTGATGCAGCAGATTACTTTCAAATGCCCAAACTTATTCAAACTTGTATGCAGAGAATATCTCATATCATGAACGAGTTATTTCAACCTAAATCCATTCAACTTCATGAATCACATAGCTGCGATATATTCTCAATAATATTAAAAGAGTTTGCGAAAGTGTCCCACTGTGAAAATGGTTGTGTTAACAAACTTTTTTCTGAATACACCATAAAATACCCTCATTTTATCCTCAGACCCTGTCTTTCAGATTCAAACTTACAGCATCTTCTTATTAATTTGGCTATAAGCTATTTGTCGAAAAGTGTCATATGCATACCAGACGAAGACATAATTTTAAATATTGTTCTTAGCTGGTTACAGATATTGAAACCAACTGAGTTTTATACAGAAAATACTGTTCAATGCTTTTTGCAATGCGTTCGTCCCGGCCTTCTTTCACTAGACGGTCAAGAAAAGTTATTAGATTATTGGCGCAACCAACATTCCGAGTTGAAGTGGTTTGGAAAGCTGACATGTGCAGATATGGAGGTATTTTTTAAAAGTATTCCAAATGGGGGAATCTTTTGCAAGTCTCCGTTAGCTTCTCAACTCCAGCTTTTGCTAGTAAAGCCTAGAGCCGAATCTCTGTGTTTACTTGGGTTAGCTCCAAGTCGTTCTAGCAACTCATTAGAATTTTGGCTTTTCAATCTTCACAATGGAGCTTATCATAACTACCCCATACCTGATAATTGTCTGCGGGAACTTGATCTGGACTCCTCTGGTGTTGGTGACATAGATCATCGCATTTATTTCTGTCCAGTAACGTACGGATCCGGTTCTTATCAAAGTAATTTGTTTGTTATGTGTTTTGATCCAAACAATGCAACATTAAATGGCTTTGCTTGGTGTTTGGCTTCTTGTCGTGCAAAACTCATCCCTCGTTTGCTTCTTTCTCCCACGAACAACAGAAATGGTACTATCAATTCTTTCTGCTTCCGATCTAGACGAATCGGTGTAACTACGTTGTCCAGTGGTCTTTACATGTATTATCTTTCTTGTATACAAGAGGTCGCATGGTTGTGTGCATTTCGATTTGATCTGAGCACTTGGAACTGGTATGGGATGGAACCTTATTGTTTGTCTAGGAACCAGAATGGAATGATGTTATTTACACCAATCGAACAGTTAAATTCTATCCCACCTGACGACTGGGTATACGCTAATATTGAGACAGTTTCGTCGAATAACTCCAGACACCCACGTCACGGGCTTCATCAAACTTCAGCACTTCGGTCACAGTTCTTTCGATTTCGTCCGCGACCTGATGGAGATGCACTATTTGTAGAGAATCTACCTAATCCACCTTTCCTCATCAGAATGTACCGTTTGCTGGCTATCAGTTGCTCTCTGCAAGGTGACTTTAGTGGTAAGTTCTTTGTTTATTATTAAGTATTATTTCTGTTCATTTGTGATAGTTCGTCTAGATTCCCCTCACCTATTACCAGTATGTTTTAAAATACTGATAAATAAAAATTTTCTCTCTACTAAGAAATACATTCAAAAACACCCGAAGGATGTTTGTCTTCCTTTCTGTTGTGTTGTTATCGACCTTCAACATTAGTTTTGCTGGTGTGTGATACTTGCATGATCATGCACGTTCATTTCAAGTTTTGAAAGCTTCTACTGAATAGATCATATATCAGATAATAATCTCCATATACTCACATGTTACATAAATTACTTGTTTTACTGGTAAATCGTAAACTGACGATATATACCGCATAGTACTGAAACCATTTATTGTTTATTTAGGGAAAAGTTAGTGAATGGGTTCTTACTCGAAAACCTTAAGATCTTATCATAGAATCCTGCCAGGTTGAACTGATTGGTTGGGTTTGGTAACTTCTGGTATCTGTTACAGTCCATCTGAATCACTGGTTACAAATGGCTTGGTGTTTGATAAAAAAATATGTGGTGGACGGTTTTCTGCTTAACAATATGCAGGGCAACTTTAAACATCGGGTAACCGTCTTATCAATTTTGACCATACTTCCCCCACCTCGACCAGTTACTACCAATCTACTTCAAAAAGAGGATATTCAGATGCGACTCCATCTTCTACAGTCCAAAATCTCTAAACCTCTTACCAAAGACAGAGGCAAGATTATTGGCCAAGGATCTGACAGTTCTTTTTGGAAAGGTTTACCAAATGGAATGTTCCATTACTTTTAATAATGCACTGATCTTCAAAATAGTCTTTTATGGATGTGATAAATATCAGGTTATACTTCTACCAGTCTTATATCGGATATTAGCTTTTGTTATGTCTGTTACAGATAGTGTAAAACATGTAGAAGAAAAATCGATTTTCATGGGGCAAACTAATTTTCGCTCAAATTGGGAATTTGTTATACCTATTTTCACCATCCGAATATTGGACTTTTATCTCACCTGTTTCAAGCCAATAATCCGTACTTTACAGTCAGTCACTTTACTCAAATTGTCTGTTGAAGAAACATATCATTGAAGTTTGGTAGCATTCTGAAAGCTCAAAAAAGAGATCTCTGATGAAACAGGGACATTCAATCATCTCTCTGTATGTTTCTAGACACTAAGGTTTATAAGGACTACCCAATCCTACTGGTTTCCTCCGATTTTTTCATCTATGATATGCTACGAGTAGCTCTAAAAGTGTCACGTTTTATTAACACATTTCTGTTTTAGATAAGACTTATTTGTTTCCTATGGGGACTTGCTCTCGTGATTTAGAGGCTACACACTATTGTTTTGACACGCTTTCCTGCCAATGGCTTCGATGGAAACCGGTTCAGACATCAGATATCGATGAGTTAAATCCCATTAGACAACATCCTTCTGAAGACATTGAGCTAACGTTTAATCTATGTCCTAAAATTCTTGGTTTTCGTGGTCTTGTTTGTGCTACACACATTTTGAATAGATTGGATGAAAACAAATTATTATCTCGAGAAACTTACGTTCAGAACCCTGATGGTGTTAAATCAAACGATCATCCACTTTCCTCATCCGTAAATGATTCAAGCTATAATGGAAGCTTGAATTCTACAAATAAAAATAGATTAACAACATTGTTGGTTTTAGCTGGTAGACCGGATCAAACTAAACATGTGATATCTGGGATATGGTTTCATCACCCTCAAGCTTGTAGTAGTTCGGACGAAACAATTGCATTATTCAATTCTCAAAAACCAAATTATTTTCTACCAACTGCAATCGCTCAAACCCTGGGACAATACCTTTCCCCAACAGCAGTTGTATTGGCTAACTGGACACATATTGTACAATCTGTAAATCCTATCACTTTTTTAACTAATTATTCTAAACAAGAAAACTGTGAACTAAACAAATTCTCATATATTTACGGAAACTTTCCTGAAAGCTCCAACTGGTCATGGGATAGTGACTAAACAACAAATTTCTCTTGTGATAAAAGATAAGTTAGTCCATAATTGCATTTTTTAAAATTGTATATTGGTTAGTGCAATATGCAAAGGAAGTCGTTGTATCATATATCACTTCATTAGATCCACTAGTTCCTCGTTTTCACAGTTATTCCCACTGTTGCATTTATTTTGTACTTCCAAGAGTTAACTTTTATATATTTTAATGTGCGTTAAGTTGATTGTTTATATTTTATGTAAGTGCCTTTATTTCCAGATTTAAAATTCCCAGTCAGTATTCTTGTAATATCTTATTTTATTTATCTCCCATTTAATATTACCCATATGTAAAATGTGTTCTGTGTCCTACATGATATATTTTTCATTATCCATACCTCATTTAAGTAAAAACTTTTGATAGTACAACCCACTTATTTGCTTTATCAGCTGTAGTTATTTTCTTAATAGATTTTAATTTCACCTTAATTTAAGCAAACAGTTTCAGAACCATTGAGTTGTAATATATTTGCCTAACCGATCGACATAGTTATGACAGTAGCATTAAGAGCCTCCATAGTATGAAATTTCAGTGTTCTCACCCCAAACTTTAAGTTTTCGTTGTAATTCTTATCATCAGGAGCCTTCATCTATGAATATAAACTATTGAGAAACTTACTGTAACAAATAATACACTCTAAACTGTCTGATTATATTCGTTTGCCTTTATGATGTTTAGTTTACCATCACGTACTAATTACGTCACGCTTACTGTTGTCAGTAAGTCACTTATATGCAAAGTAGAACCTGGAACACATGTGGATAAACTCAATTCACCACACCACATCATCACAGTGAAATGAAATCATAAAGAAAAATACAATAGTAGTAGAGATAGTAACGGTATTAATGGTGATGGAAAGAATTTGGCATTCAATAATGACCTAATGTAGATTGGTTCAGGATTTCGATAAAATACCAGCGTGGTAGAAGCAGATATTACCATTCGAAATGAATAAATTCGCGGAATTTTGAAACTAAAGATCTAAGGGAAGACAGGACCAATGTACCTGTGTCATTACAACCGATCCTAAACCATATCACCACGTCACCAATCATTGGTCTCGATAATCACGCGGACCCCAATCAGACAGTCTACACCTACGTACAGAGCTCAGTTCGAAAGTCAACGACTTCATTTACTGATGCCACTTCTTGATTTGGCCCTCCTTCAAATTACTTCCACACCAGGGAATATCGCCCATCGCGGTAAATGGTGGTTAGGTATACCTAGTATATATCTTAACCAACTCAGTCAATAAATAATCACTACTTCGACAACCGACTCACTATCCTTAACTAGTACACTGCATCTGACAGCATCGCTCACTCTAGCAATGCTTCTAAGGCACCTATGAACAAATGCCAGTAGCCTACGAGTATCTTCTAATAAAAAAGATCACAATTCACTGTCATACAATGAAACAAAACAAACTGTTCAGCAACCTACAGGATTTTTGTTTGCCAACTGAGCATCTCCGCCGCGCCACAGCTACCAAGTCAGGCGAGGTTAGTTGCAATTACTGTAGCAGCTGTTCAAAGTAAACTGTTGTCACTTTTAAAACCTAAGGCACTTCAATATAGCCTACTACTAAGTGTTTGTAGTGAATTAAAAGCTGTCCTTCATTTGTCTATATGATGGATAAGCTGTTATAACTGAACGAAAATTCTGTACCGAGTGATATGAAGAAGAGTACAAAAATCAAGGATAAGGATCTATAATACAGCGGAAATGGGCCACAAACCATGTCTAAATACATTGGTTTTAACATGTTTTATTTATGCTGATTAATAGTCAGGTTTTGAGAAAACTAATCTTAGTTGAGCTTTACGTTAATCGGTAACTTGATTCCTAAACAAAATTCACAATACCATGAGATTAAACTCTCATAATTAACAAATATAACCGATCTAACTGTTCCAAAATGTAAGTGTTTGTAGAAGGCTAGTGAAAATAGGAATAACTTTTCAATATGATTAATCCGATGTTCTTCATTTTTTCAAACCTAATATTCTCAGATGATTTAGTCCATTCAACAAGGTGTCATACTCTCTATTCGTGGTTAATTATGTAATACAGTCTAAGTAACTAGATGTACTACCCAGAAAATACTGGGTGAATGTGTATCATCCGTGTCACCAGGGCTCACGGTTGCAGACGTTCACATACATTTTATACAGTTAGATAGAGTAGATTAATGACTATCTTTGTAACAAATAGCGTTATGATCTTATGTGCTAGCATAATATACATTCTTTATTCTTTTTCTTCGGACATAATTATGCAAAACTTTATTGAAATTTTGATAGTCAAACGTAAATTGTATTTCTAGGGGGATTACACAATCATCCACAGTTATAGTAGAGTATTTCTAGATGCCCAGAATGTGGAATGAATACTGTTTTCTACTAGTGATTTAGTTCTCATTAGTTCCCCCACTTACAAAATTTGTACTTATGTGCCATGATGACACCAGAAAGATCAGCCTAGTGCTCCTTGTGTGGCAGTTCAACGTCATGTTCATATTCTTAAGGTCAGCGACCGATTACACATAGATTGAATGAGAATTTGAATAGCACTACTAAATGTATATTTAGGTAATTAAACCTATTGTCGTGTACACTAATAAATGGAATCCGAATGGAATTGACTGTACGTTTGGCATGTTTATATCAATTACTAGATATCATCACTGCTTTTGTGTCATTTTAAAACTTATAAAAACTCATGTATACTATTTCAACGTAGCATGCAAGCTGAAGATATGCTTAAATGCAAATGGAAATATAAATCGTCAACAGCGTAGTGAAGGCGACTGGGTTTAGTGTCATTATTTACGAAATGTATTTGTCTCATTCATAATCAACATAGAACCTAACACAAAGGAACGTTAGCTCAATGCTTCATACCGCATCAGCATACGGAGATCAAATTACAAAGGTGAGTAGCTATCGTGTCTAAATAACTTTAGAATCAAAAAATAGAAAGAAAAACAAAACATTGGGAATGTAGTTAATAAACGAATGATGTTTCAAAAAATACTGAATCTAAAGATTCAGAGCAGAATAGAGCATAAATCCGCCTGAGCCCCTGCGGTCAGTTCTAAGCTATCCCATTTGTTATCTCTAACCATCGATCGCGGTCATCTCAGGGAGCCCAACCAAATTGTCTGCTCCTATCAACACTGCTCAAGTGATAATTTCATGGACTAACGCCGTGTCTTGGTTTGGTCGCTTCTAGCATTTTTCAACCTAACTCTACTCCAGCTAGGACTGAAATTCAAAGTGGGCATGTTATGACTGCGTCACCAATTGTTATATCGGAGTCACTTGTTACTTATACTTGTAAAAACGAGGAGCCACCGCTATTCCCAAGACGCGAAAGTAAGAACACAAGGACTGGTACAAATGAAGGTTTATTAGCCCCAAAACACGACGACCCTAGTCGAAAATACATTCATTTATATATTGATTAATAAGAAGAATGAAATCATTTGAAAAAATATTTAAAGTTATAAAAAATCAACGCTAAATGTCATACTAAACATAGTTTATGTTGGTTTAATACAAGAATATCGTATGTTATACTGAATAAATTATCTTACTCGAAAACAAAGCAAAGATTACACTACGTAATTATCACATTGAATAGAAAACGGAAGTAAAGTTGACCAAAAATCACAATGAGTAAAAGAATCTACTTTTAACTTTTCATCCCGTCACATCAGGGCAATGGTTAGATATATATAACGGAAATACTGTCTACCTCAGTTGACAAAATTTCAGTTCCTTATTAGTCGATCATTCATTTCTCACTAGTACTCTATGCCTAATTTCAGCACTGTCTACCGAATTATCCCATCATGGGTGATTAATACTTCGAAGACACTTGTTATCAAATATTTGGAGTCAACTAATATTTTTACTTTCATATCCATAGAGCAACGTAGAATCGATTACTATCCAGTATCTTTTCAAATTATTTCCTAGAAGACCAAACTCCACTATTTGCGTTTAATATAAGTCGATGGTAAGAACTAGCTTCAAATATGCATTTGTTTAGACTTTTTGTTACAAATAAAGTGATTGTTAACATCTTCAGTTTTAGAGAATAACATCAGTGTTAGAAATATCTACCTACTAATAACCTTTAACTTTATAACGGTTCTGCTGAGGCTATTAATAACATATACAAGAAGTTATTATGGTAATCCATGATGTCATCGTTCTACTGTCCGATTCAGATAAGCATAAACTCTTCTTAGCCCTTATCGCACCAGCTATGATTTATTTTGAAGAAAAACTGGATAATATTTCACACAACTCGTGTATTTCTAAGTTACCGGACTTATTAAAAGAAGTAAGTGAAAGATGGTCGGCTCTGGTTGAGTGAATATTTTAATTATTAGCAATACTCCGTTCATAATTCTGTCTTATCTAAAGCAAGGTCCTGCGACAGCATACAATCTGTTCAGTATCCGCTAATATACCACCTCATGCTCATTACAAATCTTTTCATTTATTTATGTAGATGATGTTGGGATATGTCATGTCTTACTAATATTTGGAGTAGAATGGCAGGTGATATATATATATATATATACTGATTAATGAAGGTTGTTTGCAAGTACAAAAAGTATTTAGAATCTCTTTATCAATACTCATCATCAGTATTAATACGACCAGAGTTTTAGATTTAAAAATGAAGTAAAAGAATGATTAACAGTATCTGATTTTATTCTACTGACTTACTGATTATAATTTAATCAAAATGCGTGATATATACCATCTGTAATAGATAATATGATAGCATATGAAATAGGTAGTTAGTTACTTTATATATGATTTAGAAGAATAACTAAATGTCAGTAATAATCTGATTCTTATGTTAAATAAATTACTACAATACCACATGACCTTATTCTTTTTTTATTCCTTTCTCTAACTATAAGAGAACATTTATTCAGTATGTGTTTGTTGTACATTTATTAAAGAAAAAAAAATAAAGTGATCAGAATTATATGTCTACATGTGTTGAACTATTTGAGCTAGAGAATCTAAGTTAAATAGAAAGTTGAAACATGTAATTACGGCAGAATTTTGTTGTGACGGGCGATGTTAAAAATCTTTTACTGATTCATGGTACTCTACGCGCTAACTCCCCAACTGACTACTTGAGCGAGAACACAGAAATGAGCGAGAGTGTATTGGGCTACTGAATAAAATGTAAAAATACACATTCACATATAATATACCACTCCAGTCCTTAGGAAACTGATACATTTCTTAGTCAATAAAATGTACTTGTCCTTTAGATCTGTTTTGACTGCCATCGATTAGCCTTCTCATTGGCTGTTCATTTGAAATTTCAAGTACAATCGTCAA